GTGGGCGGACTCTTTGTCGTGAAGAGTACGGACTGACATACAGGTCGATCTCATCCCCGTCTTCTACTTCGTCCAGAAGGATTTCCAGCCCCTGAGATCTGTCCCAGGATGTCAGTTCGTAGTCAACGTACTCGCCGTCAAGCACTTGTCCAGGTTGCGCGTTGAATATGTCGACCGCACCGCCGGTGGAACTGCCTTGTGATGTTCCAGGAGCGCGATGCATCTTGGCAGCTATCCTCTTCATCGTCTCGCGTGCCTGCTCTTCATTCAACGCTTCGATATCCACCTCCAGATCCGTATCTACTACGCAAATGCCATCTCCTTCGGGCTTGAAGCCGTCTACAAGGAAGCGAAACTCGTCGCGCTTGCCATCAACTCCCCGACCACCATTTATAGCCAGGACCTCTCCGTTCGTCAAGGTTGTAAAGTTGGACCGTAGATGTTCCTCCAGTAGCGACTTCCAATCCTCTGGGTCATAGCCAGCTTCGAGAGGCCGTAGCTTTACGAAGGTGCCCTTTGGTAATTGCTTGGCATGTACTACGATCTTTGTAGATGCAGCACCTTCTGTCCCCAGAGGAATTGCTCCATTCGACATAGCCACGTCATCTTCATCCTGGCCATTTGGGCTGGCATTCCTGGAAGGCTCCGCAGATTGTTCCTTGATTCCCAATGCCTCTTTCAGAAAACTGCTCAGTACAACTTCGCCCTCCTCTGCGGAGAACTCGCGTATGCCTGCATGTACAACTCTGCCATTATCCGGGTTGACCAAGCGGAACGTAAGCGGGTGGGGCAGCTGCTGGAAGCGGTCCTGCGTTTGTGCTCGTGCGTGGCGCTCGGCGTTGAAGGTGTATGGGTTAAAAGGATCGAAAGCGGTGATGTGCGGTCGATTCGCGTCGACGTGAACGACAGGTGCTGCGGCAAGGAGCTGCTCTAACGCTGATGGGGGAAGGAGTAGTTTGTCGCCGGGTAGCGTGCTTCGCGTCGCATGAGCGAGTTCGTATTGCGCGGACCACTTCAGCTCTGCTGGCTCTGCTTCCGGGTCCATGGTTGTTTTGCGTCAGATACAGAAAGGTGAAGGTAATGACTGTGGTGGGAACACATGTATGATGGTACGTCGTAGTTCAGAGGCGTGGAATGGCTGACATATGCGCCTCGCGACTCGAAGCTTCGGTGAATGACTGGCGTCATTGCCCTGCCCTCGCCTCGGCCCGCTTGGCTTATCGATAACGCTCGCGTGGTAACGCGTGAAGATACCGCCACCGTTGAAAGTATACAGCAGAAGTCTAGTTTCACCACTCGTAGTCGTCATGTATATTCTATATTTGGTCTACCATCTTTCACAGTGCAAGCGATGGTTTCCCGATACAGCTGCGAGACGATGACTAAGCGTCTTGGACACCGAAAGAGCCACGAGCATACCTGAGTATCTCGCAACATACAGCCCATATATGTGTAGACGTGTTTGAATACTGGCCATAATTGATCAACAGAAGTACGCGTCTCAACAAAGATGCGAGAATCTCCCCGGGCACCTAAACCATATCTGTGTCGTCCATGCCAATGCTCCGGTGAGTTTCGATATGTCGATTCATGTTCTAACCGGCCAACGTGGGGCGAACATCCCCCGGCGGCTTTGCGCGTCGCGTCGCCTACCTGACATCTCGCAGCGACTGTTTTAGCCTGTTTCCACTCGACCACCAAGACTTGCAGCGCGGGCTTGGCTGCAAGACGTGTTCCAATCTATGCTTCATCGCAGCCTGATCGTGCAGGTCCTATGCAGGAAGCTTTGCGTGTCCTGCTACCACGCCTCTTGGCAGGGTCTTGCGCTTGCGATCGCCGCAGGGAACGAAGCATCGGCGGTATCCCACGCACCCACAACCCCATCTCCTGCAGCGTCTCAACCTCGATTAGTCTTTCCTTTTGCTCATCCAACACACACCTGCAGTGTCAGATCAGTGGCACGTGCTACTCCGCCCTGCCCTCGCGCTGTGTAATAAAGATTCGGTGAGTACCCATCTAACCTCTGGCCAAACTTCTCTGGTTGCATTCCCCGAGCCCTCACCATGGGCCCTTCTACCTTCAGTGACGACCTTCCTACATCCCTGGCGGACCTGCTTTCCAACACCTTGATCCTGCGCCAAACTGCCCCGTACCTGCCAATATCTGCTCTCCGTAACCTGTCGCGAACTTGCAAATCCCTACACCATGTTGTCTTCCAGTCACCAGAGGCCTTTCGCTACTTGGATCTCTCTCCGGTGAAGTCTGCTATTGTACCCTTCGATGGACCTCTTGATATCGGCGGTACCAGTTTCCGTGCTGAGCGCATGGACGAAGCCCTCACCGAAGACGACTTCTACAGCGGCCCTCTACGTCATATCTTCAACAGACTTGAGAAGCTGCACGTCTTGCGCAATGTCCACACACTCGTACTAGACGGGCTCAGCGTAACAGCCGAACTGGTCAAGGAACTGCTTACTGAGGAACGCTTCAACGTCCGCATACTCTCGATTCGCGAAGCCAAACATTTGAACGAGAGGAAGCTTCAGCAATACCTGCGATATGCGGTCCGACCGTCCAGGCCTGCGGGCACCCCTCGAGTCAAAGGCATCTACATCTTTGGCACCCGCGATCGAACACCGCGCCCTGCGTCGCCCGTCACGAAGAAGCCTTCCCCACATATTCCCAAGGGCGTGACGACTTCACAAGGGGCGCAGATAGGGGCGCAATGGAACGAGAAGTCGCAGCAGGCCTTGGAAGCTGTACTGGCGCGGACCGAGGACAAGTGGTACCAGTCTTCTGGCAAGATCATACCTAAGCGGCCGTCGCCGGAATGGGCAGAGATTCTCCAGGCGTGCGAAGGCATCATCGCTTTCGACGCCGTTCTGTGCAGAGGACCACGCCATGACCCAAGCAAGGCGTACGTCAGAGACGCGACTGCAGATGGCGCACCCCATCCATCCTCGTTCCTGCGGCCTACAGTAGCCACTGTAGCGCTAGGTCCGTCTGGCTGCGAGACATGCCACTCCTCTCCAGAAGGCCCGGCAGTGTTTGGCGACTCCAGTCCGTCGCATCATCCGCTACTCAGTCCGGTACCACTTCATGGGTCCTCCGTACGCGCCGCGCAGATACCACACACTCTCGACGGATCCGCCCCTCCGCCTCTCATAGTGCGATGCGAGGACTGCCTGAAAGGACGCTGGTGCGAGAGATGTCACAAATGGTGGGATGAGAACTGCTACACTGGATCGGTTACCGCCCAGCGTACGGAGCTACAGCAGACGGAGCTCACCGAGAGCTTCAAACCCGACGGGACCAGTCAACTGCTCCCCAAGCAAACCATCAAGGTACATATGGGCCTCTGCGTGGAACACTGCCTCCGTGAGGAAATGATGGCCGGAGCCGGTAGCGACGGGATGTGGGGATGAAGGACCTACCTTGGCGCGCGAGCAGCGATGCTACCTTGAGGCCGTTACGATGTAGTTGGATTCCGGAACCCGGAGCCTGGCTATATTGGATAATTGCACCTGGAGACTGGCACTTGCGCGCCAAGGTATGTGCTCACTCTTTGGTCAAGAAGTATGCTGACGTGAAGAAACACAGGTTATCGGCGTAAGACGTGACTGTTTTGGCTGTGGCCATACCTGCATAAGCTGTAAGGAGCTTTTCATCCGCACATGCAGGAAATGCAACAACGAGTATTGCCGTGAGGATAACGACGCGTCTTCAGACACACTGGTTAGTATGGTGCGATGAGGCGTGTAAACATCAACTAACTCGTCTACAGTGCGACTGGTGCAACTATACTTCACGAAGGACCAGGGAAATGTATTGAACTTGGCTTTCGTCGCTTGAGTAGAGCTTGGATACCTCCTCGGCCAACAGCAAACGTATCGCTTGCGACCACAGCTATGGCTGGATTTATGATTTATGATTTATGACATCCCTCCCCTCTTAGCATTAGGACTAGATACCCCCCTCAAATCTATCGACACGGTTCCCGAACCTACTTCTCCGAAAGATGTAAATGATCTCTCGCATGCTCATGCCCAGCATCGAATCTGCGGTGCGGCTTCGCTGTGTGATCATTCGTTCCTTCTTTCACCTATGCATCATGCAGGATATGGGCGTGGTCGATCTAGCCCGTTTTGGCAGACACGCTCCTGCCTGTTTGCGTTGTCGCCTATCCGCGGCACGTCAACAAGTCCGTAATCCTCGTCCTCGACTTCCTCACCTTCACCTGCATTTATTGTTCGGTCGATACTCTATCCAGTAAAGCTACCTGTCTCCACGGTTTCGCAAATCGGGAGTCGCTCTATCACTATCGCTATCGAGCCGCGAATAAGTCATGGATCCTACCGCAGCAAAGAAGAGGTATGGTCACTCTAACGATGCCGATATCATGATAGGACTTGTACTGATGCTGCGATAGAGTACGGGCTTGTCTACCCCAAGTCCGGAAGTTGATGGGAATCACCGGATGTCCTTCTGTCTCCATCGGCATCCTCCACGAAGGCGAGGTCATCCTTCAGCACAGCCAAGGATTCGCAGACGGAAACGAAAATTATATCCCGGTCAACAATTCAACTCTCTACATGATCGGATCACTCACCAAGGCCTTCATCGCCGCGTCCTGTGGTATACTCGTCGACGAGGGCAAACTGAGCTGGACCGAACCGCTATCCACATACATACCCTTTACCCAGAACAAAGATCCTGCCATAGGCAAACACATGAGTCTATCAGAAGCCCTCTCTCATTCCAGCGGATTTCCACAGCTCGACATCGCGTGGTATGGCGCAGCAGGCGCAGAACTGCTTCTTCCAGAAGATTTATTACATATCACTGCCAACATGCCAGTTCACGACACATTTCGCACCGGATTCCATTACTCCAACTGGCCTTACGCTCTGGTGGGTAAAGTGATTAAAGCGGTAGGCGGCGAGGATGCCGTGGATGGCTGGGGAGGGTTCGTCAAGAAGAGAATCTTTGAGCCTCTCGGAATGAGTAGATCGACGTGTTCTCGATGGAAAGTCGAGGGTGGAAATCTGGCTGAGGGGCATACGGTCTTGCACGACAGGCGACCAGTACGTTTACGAATGCCTCAAGTTTCAGACAAGACTATTTGTGGAGCTGCAATGGCGATTTGGTCGAACGTTCCGGAAATGCTCATCTGGTCGCAAGCAGTAATGGAACGGTTGGAAGAAGAAGAGACGGAGAAGAGCACCATTGAGGCCATCCAAGGATTGAGTCTCAACACAGATCAACACGAAGCAGTACACCACGACGACCATACGGACGCGCAAAGCACATCGACAAACCCGCTAAGGCGAATCAGCCAAATCACGTCCCGCAAGATACCCGTTACGGACGATACCGTCAACGAGAACTCGTATGCATTTGGATGGGCAAGACACATGATTCCCTCGACACAACTTGGGTGGTTGTCTACCAACGGCCCACAGAGAGACGATGTCATCGGGCGAGGATCGCGGCCGCAGCTGACACTATACCACGGAGGCCAGGTGACCGGATATCTCAACTCCATCTATCTCTTTCCGGAGACCAAATCCGCTGTGGTCGTCCTGACCAACGCGCAGAGTGCTGGAGACTGCTCTGATCTCGTTGCTCAGATGTTCGTTCAATCACTCTTCGATATGACCCCGGAAGTGGATTTCGGTATGAGGGCGGAGAAGCTATCTACCCGTAGTCTGAACCGATATACCGAGATGAAAAACGATCTGCAGAAGAACCGCATGTTAAATACGCCATGTCCCCATCTCGAAAGCCTTGAGGGGACGTACCGGAACAATGACATACAGGGGATTATTGATGTATGCAAGGTAAGTAGAGATCAATTGGAGATGAAACGGAATGGCATGGATTCGCAGTGCCATCTCCTGGAACACTACCAGTCCCACACGTTTAGCTTTTTACCTGGATCGAGCGACGAGATGGAGACAAGATGCCTGGTGGATTACTCGAGCTACGAGCAATTTCTCCTGGTATTCATACGCAATGAAGAGGGTACGGTTATTGGTTTGGACTGGGTGATGCAGGAGGGATTCAAGCCGTTGCGTTATATTCGCCAGAATATCGGCCCAGTTAGCGGACCCCCCTCTATTATGTCAATCCCGTGTTGAGGATGAGAAACGTAACGAGTAAACATTCATAAGCTTCGTAGAACTATAGCTTAGACGTGGTCGTTAAATATTCACAGCGTTAACTTTCCAAGGTTGCTTGGGATCCTCGTGTTGCTGCCAAGCCCCCATCGGCCTGTGGACGGCTGGCCAGGGCCGATGCACACGATGACATGTGGCTGCCACATTGAGCCCCAACATTGCAAACAAACAATCGTCTTCTTCCCACTTCAGCGCGCGAGTCCTCGCTTTCCAAACCCAACACCCCCGTTTCACGCAATCTGTCCTTTCCGCGCAAAAATCCCCGGTGACGTCGTCTCTCGCTCCACGTACCACATCTCCCCAGGACACGTCCGCTCCACCTCCGCCAGGCACCAGCTGCACGACCTACCCAACGCCAGACCGCTACATTCTGACACTTCCTCTTCGTCGCTATACCTCACACACTCGCATATCAGACAATGGCGCAATACGGCTACGGACAAAACCCGCAATACGGCGCAGGAAATGCGCAAAACCTCCAATTCTACCCGTCGTCATTTTCGAACCAGCCAGTATCTGGCCATTCCACACCGTTTCAGGCAAACTACGGCGCACCGGCGAGTCAAGCGTATCCCGCACAGTATGGCGCGGGGTTCGCTGCACCGGGTGTGAGTGGGCAGATGGGTATGGGCGTGTCGGGCTTGCGGACGGGGTGGCTGGCGGCTTTTGGCACAGAAGGATACGATGGAGAGCCGCCGCTACTGGAAGAGTTGGGAGTGAACTTCAGGCATATACAGATGAAGACGTTGGCTGTGCTGAATCCGTTCGGTCGGATCGATCAGCATATCATGGACGACAGCGATGTGGCAGGGCCGATACTGTTCTTCTTGATCTTTGGGACGTCTTTACTGGTATGAGACACGATATCAAGAAAGAAATGAGAGCTAACGTGGAGTAGTTGTCTGGAAAGCTTCATTTCGGTTACATCTACGGTAAGTCAAACAGCTGCTTGGAGAAAGACAGTAACTAACAAAAACAGGTCTGGCGTTCGTTGGCACGATCCTCCTCCACCAGATTCTCTCCCTCATGTCCCCGCCTGTCGTCGAAGCGACACCTGGAGACCACGGTCACCCGCATGGCTCACATCTTGGCTCCTCGTTAACGTTCCCACGATCGGCATCGGTGCTCGGATACTGTCTGCTCCCTCTCGTTCTGGTATCGATGTTTGGAATCATCGTGCCGCTTGATGGACTATTTGGATATCTTCTGACCAGCCTGGCCATCACATGGTGTTCCTACAGCTCCAGTTCCATGTTTACCGTTGTTGGTAAGTTGAACCTTCCGATGGGGTTTTTGATTGGAACTAACACATCTCGCAGGACGCATGACTTCCATGCGAGGACTGGTAGCGTACCCCATGGTTCTGTTCTATGGCAGTTTTGGGATCATGGCTATCTTCAGCTCGCGGGGCACTGGTCAGTTGGCGAAGGCGGCAGGATCATAAGAATATGGTTGAGCACATTTCAAGGCGTCTTGACCAAGATGTGTAGAACATTTGCGCATATGCGTACGATATCAAGAACATAACCAAAAAGAAATCCAAACATAGCTTCCAAATCGACTTTCACTACATTGCCATGTTGAGCCAATCGGAGTACGCCTAACGCGCTTAGAGCGATGACGACGAGGACCCTGCACGAAATTGTTCTTCCCGATAATCTCCGCCACCCGTCACATCTTCTTCAGCCCTATATACCTTTGCTTGCCTCTTCTTTGCGCCTCACTACTCTTTCCATACGAATACTCACCATGGGCTGGTTTTGGGCAGACACCGCACCCGCCGCACCTGCTGCACGTGTTGCGCCGCACGCCATGCCTCGAGGCAGCATGAGCAGCATGGAACCTCCAGTAGGCACTCTACTCCCCATACACACCTACCACTAACAACCCCCCAGCCAGAATGCCCGATGCACAAGAAACCCGTCCCGCCCGTCGTCGCCGAAAAGAAGACACCCGCTGGCGCCTGTCCCTACGTTCCCCCCGAAAACGGCTCCTCCCCACCCCCAAAGCAAGGCCTCCTCTCGCGCCTCAACCCCCTCAACAACATGTTCTCTGAACTCTCCAACGAGCGCGCCTCCACCCAATCCGTCAACCTCCCCCTTGACCGCGAGACTTCCACGATCCCCAAAGGCGACGGCACGCTCTGGGAGTACCCCTCCCCCCAGCAAATGTACAACGCCATGCTGCGCAAAGGCTACACAGACACCGACATCACCGCCGTAGAAAGCATGGTCGGCGTGCACAACTTCCTCAACGAGGGCGCGTGGGCGGAGATCATGGGCTGGGAGCGGCGGTTCAGCCGTGGGTTGAAGGAAGGATACGAGATATGCAAGCAAGGCGAGGAAGTCGCGAATTTCAAACTGGGTACCCATGAGGATCCGTTTGATACGACGACGTGGGATCACAGGGATGTTCAGCCCCCGAAACTACTCAGGTTTACGGGTCGCCCCACGGAACCTACGCCCAAAGCAACGATTATGCAGTGGCTGGGCTACGTTATGCCAGAGAAATTCGGCACGGCGCCGCCGTTTGATCGCCATGATTGGTTTGTGGAAAGATGTAATGAGAAGGGGTGTAAAGAGATTCGTTATGTTATTGATTACTATGAGGGTGCGCCGGAGGCATCAGATGCGTCGGGCGAGGGCGAGGCAGACGAACAACCGGTTTTCTTCTTGGATGTTAGGCCCGCGGTTGATGGGCCGGTTAGTGCGGCTGAGCGGTTGATAAGGACTGGTACGGATGTTTGGTGGAGGGCTAGTGGGGGTGTGGCGAGGGAGTTGAAGAAGTTGGAGGCGGAGAAGAAGAGGAGGGAGGAGGAGTGGGCTAGTAAGAGTAGGAGGTATAATTAGGCTTGGGTGTGGTTGGGATGGATGGGTGTGTGTTGCATTGCGCGGCGTTTATGGGTTGGACTGGGGACTTTTTCGCTGTATGATTGGGCTTGTATGAGATATGGGTCTAAGGACGTGTTCATGAATTGGACAAGGAAGCTCCTATTAGGGATTTGCTCTGTCACGCTGGTATGGTTCTCTACTCTAGCTTTTCTTTCTTGTTGTAGGTTCTTCTCGGGGGGCTTACGAATATGACTGATGCTTAATCTAAATGCCATCTTTATTCCTCTCTGCTGACAGCCTTGTTATAATGCGGAGAACGTCATAACCTACCCTTCTGACCTAAGCCTTATTCACTTCAACACAATACACCAGTAGAAACTTCATGACCAAAAGTATCTGGAATATCTCTAACACCCGCTCATTTAACACAAAACCACACTCGCTACCCCCTCATCCGTCACTTCCTATGCACCCCAATAAACGTCCTCTCCCCCCTATACATATGAATACTCCTCGAGAAATGATCCTCCTCCTCCTCTTCCTCTTTAATCCAAACCCCATCCACAAGTTTCGCCCTAACCATCTCCTCCCCCTTCCCATCCTTCCCATCCATCTCCCCACCATCCCCCTCCCCAGGCAAAACCCCACCATCCCTCGTCCTCCCCTCCGCCATCCTAACACCCACAGCCTCAACCACCGTATCGAAACCCGCTTCCACATCCTCCTCACCCCACGGCAACGCATCGATGTCGATTTTATGTTCGCGGCCGAGCAGACACATGATTATCACCATGGCACCCGCTTTGGACATGACTTGGTTGTGCTGTTTACACGCGTCGTCGTTGCAGCATTCGTTGCAGCCTTCGAGGCAGTGGCAGGAAGTGAGGCGCTGACATGCTTGCTCGAGCAGGGTATCGATGAACTCGAATGCTTTGGTACTAATCCCTGAGCCGCTAGCACCGCCTTTTGCGTCGTAGAAAGTCAGGCGTGCCGGTCTTTTCCTTGTGGATTCCTTCGCCAGGAACTCTTTCTCGGGGACTTTGCATTCCGTGCGGACGTCGCCGGGCATGCTGATAACGAAGTTAGGCATGAGAGATAGAACGGCGTGTTCAGCAGCATGAATCCCCGCTGCGATATTCAGCCTCCGCGACCTCAAGATATCAAGTGCAGACTTAGGCACGTCGAGCCACATGCCCTTGCTAAACAATATAATTGGCGGGTTATCAACCTGCACAGCATCCAAAATCCGCCTCTTCTTATCAATCTTGAAAAAACCATACACGACTTGTTGGATCTTGATCGGCCCATAGAAAGCTTTCGACCTGGAACCGGGGATACGGCGGATCGCTTCTGTTTCCACGGGATCAATGTCCGTGTAGTCGCGCTGTTGGGTTGTCCAGTCTACTTTTACGTATTCGACTTTTGCGAGCATGCGCTCTTGGCTGAATTCTTTGACGAGGTACGTGTTTCCTTGGTGGAGGAAGATGCCGCCGTCGTAGAGGGTGAAGAAGGCGCGTGAGGCTTCGAGTTCTTCGAGTACGGTGTTTTTGCCGTGCGTTACGTCGATGATGGCGAAGTGGTCTTCTTCTGTGTCGCGGATTGCGACTGTGCGTGAGGGCTGCGGGAGGAAGCGCGTGTTGACGTGGTAGAAACCTTCTTTGTCGCAGCGCATGCGCTCGCGGGCGATTTTGGGGAGGAGGGGGCCGAAGTAGGAAGTGTCTACTTCGACGTTGATGGGCATTTCGTGGGCGGCGCATTGGACGTGGCCTTCTAGAACCAGCATGTTTTCTAGGTCGACTTGGAGTGCGCAGTTGGGTTTCGTGAAGATCTCGTCCGGGTTCGACATGTAGTATTGGTCGGTAGGAAAGCAGTCGCCGACTAGAACGGATAGCGAGTCTTTGTTTCTCCGTCCAGCACGACCACTCTGCTGACGCAGATTGGCGATAGTATAAGGAAAGCCGACTGTAACAACAGCGTCCAGAGATCCGATATCGACACCAAGTTCCAGCGCACTAGTAGCCACGATACCACAGAGCTTGCCGTCGAACATCTCTCGTTCGATCTCTCGTCTGTCTTGCGGCGTGTATCCGCCTCGATACGACATGACCCGAGCAATCACCTCCGGTCTTTCCAGATTGGTAAGTTCAGTCTTGATAGCAGCAAGCAGCGCTTCACACTGCTTTCGTACACGACAGAAAGCAATAGCTCTGACGCCCCTCAACATCAGTTGACAGAACAGTTTCGCCGTCTCCGCCATACAATCGCCGCGTCCAGATGTAGGATCACCAGGATCCTTGAACGGCGTGTTCCAGCACAGAAACTCTTTGCGTCCAGAAGGCGACCCGTCAAAGTCAGTCAACTTGACCTCGTCAACACCGAAGATAGTCTTCATGTGCTCTTCAGGGTTGGCGACTGTAGCCGAACAGGAGATGAACTTAACATGTCGATTCCCCAGCGCCGCGCATATCCTGCGTAGACGGCGCATGATGAACGCCATATGTGCTCCAAACAGTCCGTTGTAAACGTGCAGCTCATCCACCACTACGAACCGTAGGTTCTGGAGGTAAGTCCGCCAGGCATCTTCTTGTGGCAGGATAGTAATGTGCAGCATATCCGGGTTAGTGAAGATGATGCGTGCCTCATCCCGAATGTAATTACGATCACTCATCGGCGTATCGCCATCGAATGTTTCAACCAGAACCTCTTCAAACCCCGGCATAAATCCTAACAGCTCCTTCATGCTCTTCCTCTGATCCTGCGCGAGCGCTTTCGTTGGGAAAATATACATAGCCCTCGTATGAGGCTCCTGTTCCAATTGATGCAAAACCGGTATCTGGTAGATCAACGATTTACCAGAGCTCGTCGAAGTAGACACAATCACATTGTGTCCGTCGTAAAGATTATTGATAGCCTCCGCCTGGTGAGCGTAAAGCTGCGTGATGTTCCTCGTGTTATACAGCGCATTGACGAGATTCTGCGACATGGCGAAGTTCAAGTCGCCGAAAACAGCTTCTTGTGGGTCGAATACGCGGTGGCCATCTGGCACGATCTGCCCAGTATACCACTCCATCGTCTTGATCTCGTTCAGGATATCGGGAATAGGCTTCCGCTCCGCGGGTATGGAAGCTGGTATAAGTGCTCTGTCCGGGCCAGGTGTAGAGTGCCGACTCGCAGTCTCCACAGGAACAAATGCTTTTGAAACCTCCATAATCTTCTCCACCGAATCCACCCCCTCCTCAGCACATTGATTCAAAAACCCATTCACCGCCGACGTAAACTTGACATTCCTCTTCTCAATCAAATTCATCATCTGCTTCTGACTGTACACCGGCATCTTGAGATCCTCATTCCTTAACTTCGTCGTAGCCTTCGTCGGCTCTCCCGTTTTCTTATGCTGGACCTGGCGCTTCAAATCGCCATCGATGAATTCAAACAGCAGCACCTCTTTATGCTCGCCTTTATCCGGTTCGGGTTCTAGGATCGCGAAATCTGTTGTCCGTCTGCCGTGTAGGTTGTCTTCTGAACCCATCAAATTGATTTGTAGCATTGCTTCGTCGACGTAGGCGAAGTTTATGGCTTTGGGTATCAGGGCGGTGATCTGCGCTACGTCTTCGATGACTAGCTCTCGTTGGATGTTGGCTTCGACTGTGCTCCGCAGGTTTTCGAGCGTCGTCGCGAGGTGTTTGCGCGTGCAGAGAAATGTGTAGACGAGGTTTACGGCGCGGTGGACTTGCGCGAGCTTCGTGAAGTGCTCTGGCCATGGTATTGTCGTTTCGACCAGGGTGGACGAGTTGTTGCGCGCGAGAGCTGGTTTGCCGGCACCGTTTTTCTTCGGCGCTCGCCGTGGCTTCTTTCCTCCATCGTGTGTCTTGGTGGGGACGGTCGTAGTGGTCGTGGCAGGGTCGGGCGCGTTGGGGTCGATCATTGAGCCATCCGGTCCAACGATCCTGTGAACCTCATTCACCCCTTCGCCTTGTGCAGCTGGCGCCGCTGCAGTCGTTTCCTCATCGTTATCTCGCGATTTCCGCTTTCGCTTTCGTACAGTCTGGTCCGAGACGGTGGCAGCCTTGAGTCGAGGCATCGTGGGGACGTTGTTCTGGACGCTGCGCCGGTGGTAGGGAGCATTGTTTCACAATCAATGACGCAATGGCGCAACGGCAAGAGTGATCGTGCACCTGGGGGAACTTCGCTTCGGCGTCGAATACATTTGATTAGGAGGTCGCAAATCACGTTCTTAGCCGTGTATCTGACCTTGCAGATAATCGCTGGCTGCGACATCTTACAAAAAGACGCGATCCTCGCGTCGCGCGTCGCCACGCTCTCACGTGCGCCAGAATGCCGCGTGGGCTTTTCTCTAATCGAGCTCACGCATACCACAACAAACATTTCACAACCACATCAAAATCACTCTTCTCATATCAAAAGCATTTCTGAAAAGAGTCCAAGATGCATTTCCCCACCTATCCCCAGGGTATATGGCCAAAGAAGATCAGCATCCCGCCCACATATCCAATCCACCAACCCACATCATCCAAGTAGCCACTTGTGTGAATATACAGAAGAGGTATCGAACAAGAACAAGAAGATCGAAACAACAAGCACACTCCTCGCTAGAATGCAGTGATATCAGAAAAGACAGACCAGGGAAACCCATCAACAAACAACAAGTAATAAGCCATTACATCGTAAATGAGAACAACAACGACATCGCCTCGTCGGGCAAATTTTTCCCATCAGGACAAGGGGGTGGGTGGTTGGGCTGCTCTGCTCACAATGCCCCACCCGCACCAGGAAGAAGCATCTCAATGCACTTGGTCAGCAGATTGCTCGCCTCGTGCAACAACTCCCACCTCGTCTTCTTGAACATATCGCGCATGATGATGAGCAGACCGAGACAAGCATTGCGATTGGAAGTCTTGCTAAGATCCTCCGGCGAGCGCACACCGCCAACACGGTTGAGGTAGAGAACCATATCCCTGACCTTGTCGTCATAGGTGGGGAGTTGGTATGGCTCTTTG